TATATATATATATATATATATATATATATATATATATGCACACTGTATATGGAAACCATTTCTCTCGAGTCCCCACATACCTCCACCATTTGTGATACTTGGTTACAATCTTTCTCATTTTATACCATAGGTATAAACTGGATGCTTCACTAAATATAATTAGTTTTCTCCCATCACAAATAAACTTTGAGTCAAAAAACAAAGCAATGTCTTTTACTCATTTACTTTGGGAAAATAGTTCTGCACATTTGATATTTTTCCTTGTGAATAACAGCTGTTACCAGAACTTGAGGAAGGGCTTTGCAGATTGATTAGTGTTTGGAGAGGAAAAATAATGTGATATTAAGGTGAAGGAGTTATCCCAGATGTTACGAAAGGAAAACTGGTGCTTTTGGTTGCCTTTTGTCATTTTCACTCAAGAGCTGAAAATAGTTGTATTAATATATTATAACTGATAACCACAATAGAGCAATTTTGAGTAGTCCGCCCAGCAGTAGTCTCCCAAGTCATGCAGAAGGAACAAAACAAAAAACTTGATATACAAAGTCAGCCATCTAGAACCACAAAGCCAAGCAGTCATGCTCCTCATGCACCCACAGACACACCTGGGCCTCAGGCAAGCTGGGTATTTTTATTATTATAATAAAGTTAAAGAAATGTTTTTCAGGGGTGTTGTAGACCCAGACATGTTCATTTTAGTCTATATATTGTTCAGATTTCTAAAATCTTTGAAAAACTGTGTAAGAAAACCACGGGCACTGTGATGTCAGTAAAACTAGAGATTCAACTTTTCCATGTATGGAATGTAAAGGTCACAGTACAGTAAGAAAGAGCATGTCTTCTCATTGGTAGAAATTTGAACCTTAAGGGCAATTGGCGCAAATATAACAACTGCATTATTTCTGAATAATAAACCCAGGAGGCAAAAAGATTATCTTATTTTGTGCCAAAAACATTTTGAAAAATGAGATAAACTGAAATTTGAAGGAGAAGGACCGCATAAAGAAAATTATAGTAGATGTTCATTGAGCATAGAAATTGGGAACCCATCAAGAATATCTCTGAGGTGGGCCGGCCACGTGGCGCGTTGGTTAAGAGCTGGCTTGGGACACCAGAGGGCCCCGGTTCGGATCCCACATGTGAGGGCCAGTGACACTGCACTCTACAGCTAAGATGCCATGGGCTACCGTGTGTGGCCAGCAGCCAGCGTGAGTAGCCAGCAGCCGCCGTGAGCGGCTGTCCAGAAGCCTGCAACTGATCTGTCTCGCCAGGGAAGAGTGCAATGATAGTGCCAACTTGGGCCAGTGAAGCAATGTCCTCCACAACTAGACTGAAAAACAAAAGGACAGCAACTTGCCTGTTCCCCCTCCCCCAA